GAGGCCCTAAGCAACTTAGTGAGACCTTGTCTCAAAATAAAAATAAAAAGGGCTGCTAATGTGGCTCAGTGGTTAAGTGCCCCTGGGTTTAATCCATAATACAAAAAAAAAAAAAAAAAAAAAAGAAACGAAACTTCTCTAAAATGCAAAGTACCTAAAATCTATCCCTTCAATGCTTTATAATGTCTCTCCTTCTCTCCTTAATTACTGATGAGTTCAATAATTACTCTGCCACAATGGAAAATATGAGGTTCCACACTCCATCTATCTCACTATATTAATATGACCAGTTTGTATCATCCTTGTCCCAATCCTTCAGAAACTGAAATTGGTGTTCCTTTTCTCTAGAGACTGTACCACCTATTCTGAAGACCTATATTTCCTGTCCTCTGTGACCTTGTCCCCATACCGGTCCTTTTTTGGCAAAATCTTTCCTACTTCATCTATTCCTTGATTTTGCTGCATTTGACAATGGTAACAAACCATTTTCCTATTTCATTTTCTCTCCCTGACTACTCTCACGACATTGTCCTATTTCTTCTTCTCATTCCACATTTCAAATTGTACATGTGGTGATTTTTTTTCAATTCTCTTACTTCTAACACACCTTTTTAATCTTTAATCCTGTTTTCTCTTTACATGTTGGAGAATGGGGTAAAGGAGGAACTGGGGAAACAGAGGCAAGGTAGGTAGGATGTTTCTAAGTGCTACATATGTTGAGGCAGAAAAATATTGAGAACTATAGCTTATCACTTTCCATGGAGAATTCATTTATTCTCATAGATACATACTCAGATCTATGCAATAATCCCCAAATTCAGTCTCTATTATAATTTTTACCTCTTTCCTGAGACCCAGTCCATGCTCCTGGAAGCATAATATTTTTATGTCCCTCTATTAGACATTTCTAACTTGACACAGCAAACTTTGCCATCAACTTTCCCATCTAAAATTATTGCATTTACACCCTTCCTATCTTATGAAAGACCCAACAAATAGGTATTATCCAAATTTGAAAAAAAAAGAATGTCATCTCCTTCATTGTTTTTTTTTTTTTTTTTTTCGTGGTACTGGGGAACTCAGGGCCTTGCACATGCTAAGCAAGTGTTCTGGCACTGAGTTACAGCAGCAGGCCTTCTTTAAAATTTTATTATTGAGACAGAGTCTTGCCAAGTTGCCAGGCTGACCTTGAACTTGGGATCCTCCTGCTTCAGCTTCCAGAGTAGCTAGAATTACAGGCATATCCCATGGCAGCCTTCATTTCTTATATCTAGTTAGTGATAAATTCATCACTGGTAYCTTCCTTCATTAAAGAGAAAAGGCAAAGCAAAGAATTATGTATCAAAAAAAAAAAAAAAGCTAYGCTTAGAGCTAGGGATGTAGCTCAGAGGTAGAGTACTTGCCTAGCATGTGCTAGGCCCTGGATTTGACCCCCAGCACAGCCAAAATAAACAAAACAAAAAAGCTATCCTTATTAATTTTTTCTATTACATTCACTATAATCTTGGGGCTGAGAACATACCTTAGTGGTTGAGCCTCCTACTTTAGCATGCACAAGGCCCTGGATTCAATAAAAAAGTGGGGCTGGGGATGTAGTTCAGTGGCACATGCTTAGCATGTATAAGGCCTTGGGTTCCTTCCCCAACACTACAAAAAAAAAGTGAGTATGTGAGTGTGTGTATGCGTGTGTCCTCAGAATCATTAAAAATTATTGAGGATCCCAAAGAGTTTTTGTCTATGTGGATTTTATCTGTTACTATTTACCATATTAGAAATTAAAATTGAGGGGAAAAAAACATTTTTCAGTATTGGTGATTATACTCGGGGTTGCTTTACTACTGAGTTACATCCCCAGCCCTTATTTTTATTTTAAGACAGGGTCTCACTAAAGCCAGGTGCAGTGGCACATGCCTATAATCCCAGCTACTCAGGTGTCTGAGATAGGAGGATTGGAAGTTCAAAGCCAGCCTCATCAGCCTAGTGAGACCATRTCTCTAAATAAAACATAAAAAGGGGTGAGAATGAGGCTCAGTGGATAAGCAAATCTCACTAAACTGACAATGCTGGCCTCCAACTTGTGATCCTCCTGCCTCTGCCTCTGGAGTTGCTGAGATTATATAGTTTTGCCTGGCAAAACTTAGAAAAATTTAAAACACAAGAATATATAGACGGGGGTTGGGGATATGGCTCAAGCGGTAGCGTGCTCACCTGGCAAGCACGGGGCGCTAGGTTCTATCCTCAGTACCACATAAAAATAAAATAAAAATGTTGTGTCCGCCGAAAACTAAAAATAAATATTAAAAAAAATTCTCTCTCTAAAAAAAAAAAAAAAAAAAAAGAATATGTAGATAACATTCCATTAACTGTCAGAGCAATTGGCAACTTATCACCAATCATGCAGCCTAGAAAACTCCACCAAAACTTCAAAAAGGCAAATAACATCATTATTATGAAGATAGTTTCAACCTCTAGAATTCCTGCTTTACTTTGGTTCTCTTATCCATCTCCCTATCAGTCAATGACTACTGATGACAGACTTTTGTGCACATAGACTAAATGAAGAAAAAAGACTGCCTTTTTACAAAATACTCTTCAAATTCATTTGCATGCCTGCTGATCCACAGCCTAACAAGACCTATCAATTTTCCTCCTGCTGTTCCTCTTTCCTTCCTCCACTGCACACTGCACTTTAGCCAAGGTTGGAGGTCCCAAAGAGAACAAACCTTTTTCTAAAAGCTTTAGAGTCTTTGAATGTATGCTTTGCCTAGAAGGCTTTCTCTTACTTATCCTACAGACATGGTTCATAAGGTTCTCTTCTATGAAGGTTTCCCATGAATCCCCAATTACCTTTTCTCTGTATTTTCATAATACATTAGAGTTTCTCACATTGCTCTGCAATTACTGTTTATATATCTGCCTCCTCTTTTGAACAAAGACAAAACTTGTTTTATACTCTTCTCTGCATTTCYATAGTACCTTACACATAGTGGAAACCCAAAGATGTGATCATATACCCAAATCAGTCTTTCAGAGTCATTTCAAAGCTCATCTATCCCCAAGTACTCCAGGCCACACAGTATTTGCTTCTTCCTCTGAAGTTCTGCAGTACTATATGGAAACTAAGAAGAGAGAAAATCTTAAAGGAAACTAATAATTATTCCTTCTTACAAAAGAGAATGGCTCACAGAATCAAGTTTTAATTCCCTGGTCAAAAGCCTCCATCAAGTAGGTCTTCTACACCTTTTCATTTTTATTATTCTTCAGTATAAACTTAGCAATATGAACATCACCATTCCTAATAAACACACACAAACACAGACACACTATCCATTCTATTTGCATTCCTTTTGTTTATATTATTCTCCCCTTTAGGAAATACATTTCCCTGTTATCCTAAATCCTTTTTTCCTTAAAAGCTTGGTTCAAGACCTATTAATCCCATGAAGCTTTCTGGGACTGTGCCAAACCAAAGGAAAATTTCTCCTTTTTGAATATCTAGTACATTCCCATTTGTTCCATAAACTTAATATTTAGTATTATTTAATAATATTACATAAATAAACACAGCAATCCCWAATATCTTGATAGCTCTTCTAGAGCAGGCACTGCCTAGACACCAGGATCCCAATGACTTGGGAGGCTGAAGCAGGTGGATCAAAAGTTTGAGATCAGCTTCAGCAACTCAGTAAGATCCTGTCTCAAAATTAAAATTAAAAAAGCTGGGAACATAGCTCTGTGAAAGAGTGCCCCAGGGCTCAATACCCAGTTCCCTAAAAAAAAAAAGCAGGCACCTGTCTTCACTYAAAATATCCAAGTGCCATTAAAAACCAGATAATGGAAAGGATTCTAATCTTACATCCTTTGTATCAGCCTTGCTAGCAATAGGAAGATACAGTATATATAAATATAACTTGCTTTACTTGATTTTCTTCCTAACTGATCAGAATAATCCAAGCTATTATTTTCCTAGGAATATTTTATCTATAGATATAATTAACATTTTGAAAATAAAATAAGTGGTGTGAGATGCAATTCCTCAGCACCTTGAAACTGCTAACTTACACAAGACACAGGTTACAGGTTACTCATTCTGAGTCTTCAACATACTTACCCTTCTCTTTTTTTGCTCCATTATCTTAGATATATATTTTTATTTTAGTTGTTAATAGTTTTAGCTCCTTCAATACGTTCTGATRTATGATTACAGGCAATAATGCCAAACCTTTTAAGTAGAGCCAAAGAAAGGAGGGAAGTAAAAATCATGCATAAAATAAAATCAGTCTTTGAAAAACTAGAAATTATGGTAATTAGGTCTCAGATCAATGTTGAGACCTTTAGCCAAGGTTGGAGGTCCCAACCTCTTTTACTTAGGAAGAATTTCTCTAAAGGGTCTAACCATTCCCTTAAGTATCCAAATGGGGCAAGAATTATTTAGAAAATAGATTAAACATAACCATCATAACTTATTCCATGATATCATGGATTGATGGTAAATTTTGAAGATCACCTTCTCCAACTCTTCACTTTTTTTTTTTTTTTTGCCTATGTTATAAAGCCAATACAAAGCAAYACTACAGAAAAACATCGGTTAAAAATAACTTTAGGTTTAGGGCGGTTTAAGCCCTACTTGTTTGTAAGTACAGTATATCAACCACAACATTAAACTGAATGTTGAACTCTTATTTAAACACTACTAAAGAGATTTGAAGTTAAGTGCAATTCTTCCTGAGATAGATGTGTGTGTATACAACACACACAYGATGTATATGTATGATCAACACATATGACATGTATATGCTATTCACATACATGATAAACATATATATATATGAACATGAATATTCTTTCAACAAAGGATTCCTGGAATGAATTTCATCGAAGAAGAAAAGAGGACTGATGAATGAAGAAAGGAGGAAGCTATCAGCTGACAAGCAATAGCTTCCTCACCCCATTTTGCCCCTCCCCAGAAACCGTAGGAAGTAGAAAGCTGCAGAATGTACCTTCCAGGCCAGAAGCAAAACATTGAGGATGGCCAGCAATGGGCAGGGTCCATTCTCATTCTGGGTGATGATGGGTGTGTTCTCTTCCTTCCACTGGATCCACTTGATGTGATACACAGATTGTCCCGGGAAGCGTTCCTTGGAGGCTGCCAACACCTGAGCGGTGTCCTCCTCCTCCTCTCTGCACAGAGGGGCAGCCTGAGGCAATACTGCCGCGCCCTCCTCCTCCTCSGGAACCTTGTTCTCTGATCCCTCCTCGCTATTGAATTCGGAGCTACTGGGGAAAGAATGCAGGTTAGAGAACGACTCTAGGGAGTCCAGGCTTGGCGATTCCCCAGGAGGGCTCGGGTCGCTGCAACTGCTGCTGAGGCCGCCAGCGCTGCGGGGCTCCTCGGAGCCGGCGGCCGCCAGTTCTGCTCGGCAGGTGTCGGCAGGATCCAGGCGGGGCCCGGAGTCTCCAGCCGGACCCAAAYCAAGGCCCGCAACGGCCTCGGCTGTCTCGGGGGAGGCGGTCACCTTGTGCTGCCCTCTCAGAGGCGCCTTCGCGGGAGCAGGACGCTCCAAATCGGTCTCCTTCAAGTCCAAGCCCGGGAAGGAGCTGCAGAGTCCAGGAGTCTGAGGAGAGCCCGCGGGTGAAGCCGAGTYTGGAGGGCTTCTGGCAGTCGCCGCCCCCTGCCCATTCCCGCTGCCGTTCTCCGCCGCCCGTACTCCAGGACCATCTCCAGCGGCAAGCCTGGTCTCCTGTAGTCCTTCTGGGGGAGTACCTGTTCCCGGCCCTGGCCCGGCCGCCACCCCGTGTTCTAGCGGCAGCAGGCTCTCGGGGCCGCTCTCCATACCCGGCCGGCCGCCCGCCCCTGGCTCTATAGAGACCGCGGCCAGCACTCCTCAGCCAGCGCCTCCGACGCCATGACAGCGGCACTGGCAGTTACAGCGCCCTAGCGCGGCCCTGGCCAGGCACGTCACTGGGGAGGGCACCGGGAGCGCGCGCGCCGCCGCTGCCGCGCCCTCCGCCGGATAGGGGCGTGCCCCCGCGCGACTGAGCTATGCGGGGCGAAGGCGAACCCGCAGCAGCCGCCCACGTAGCCCCGTCCTTCCCGCGTGCGGGTGCCGGCTTGAGTCCGGAAAGCCGGGCGTGGCGGGCGTGGCCGGGGGCGTGGCTAGGGCGCGTCTTCGCGGCCTCAGCTCCAGTAGGAAAACATCCTCTCACTCTGTGGCCGGAAGTTGAACTCCGGGGCAGCCCCACCGCGCGCCGCTGSTTTAAAGGCCCGCGCTGAAGGCGTCTGAACTCTTGGCTGTGACCTCTCAGAGCCGCGTCGGATGTGGGTCTGAGCGGGGGTGGGGTGGTTATTGGAGGTGGTCGTAGCATTTGAAGAAGGGCTCGGGAGACTTGTTTCCCCAGCTTGTAATATGAAAAATTCACAGCATTTCTTACCGAAAGCAGCTTTTAAAGGCGGAGATCTACTCGAGGTGTTTAGATTACTGCAGTGCACAAATTTCATTCTCCCTGTTCTGGCTGAGAATCGCTGCGCTTCCCACCGGCTACTGGTGCGACGTTCGCCCTATAGGAGGCGTCAGTGTGGTTGTGGATATTGGCCTGCGCAGCGAAAGAAAGTGGGTAATTTGGGCCAGTAATAATAAATTTACTTGCGTTCGAATTAGCCAAGTCTGTGGTTTTGGTTTTGGCGTCATTTTGCATGGAGTGGGAAGCGCCTGCTAATGAAAAATGTCTTTTTCTAATAAGAATTGACTACTCTTCAGAACATGCAATTTTCAAAGTTTTGTTGGTAAGAAGGTGGATGCGGGTCTATTGTGACCCCTCCCAGAAAAGCACCATTTCTTGAAATCCCCCTTTCCTCCAGCTCTGGGGACACAAAAATTACAACACAGATCTTATCTGACGTATTGAGTCAGACTCCTGCTTGTAATCCCAGCTATTCTGGAGGCTAAGGCAGGGGGATCACAAATTTAAGGCCTGTCTCCCTCCACCTTAGTGAAACACGGTCTTAAAATAAAAAGGGGTGAGGATGTAGCTTCCTTAGCATGCCCCTGGTTCTGAGTTCAATCCTCAGAAACACCAAAAATAAAAAACACCAAACAAACAAAAAACCCTGACACATAATAGAATATGATATATTCGTATTCTATTGGTTAGAGAATATAGCCAACATTACAAAGTATTGTTTTATTCATTCTTCAGCACATTTTAGTACCAAGTATATTGGTGGGTACTGTTTTTATCCTTGCGGATGCCACTGTAGTCCGCAGAGTTCTTATCTTCATGGGAATTGCTGTTTGGCTTTTTTTTTTTTTTTTTTTTTTTTTTTTTTTTTTAAGTAAGCGTTGGGA